CCCCAAAACCCCAAAACCCCAAAACCCCAAGTCTTAATTTTATAGAAAAATAGAGTAATTATATATAAATGAGTAAATCATTTGTTTATATGTTATTGAAATTAAGATCTATGGTTTAAATATTTGAATCTCTCATTTATGAAAGATTTGTTAATATATAAATGAGAACGAAAGAGTAGATTTCAAATTTCCTCAGCAATGATTCTCAATTTATATCTTAGTTCAGTCCTTTTTCATTATTTCTAAGCAGTTGGCTCGTCAACTTGCTTACCTTCTTTGGCCATTCTCAAATGTGTCAATGAATCTGGCATCATTTTTAAAAGATTTCCTTATTAGCTGTGTAATATGGAGCCATAAGTATACCTTCTAAATCCCAAATCTCTAAGACTACCCTCAGCAGTCTCATTTGGAAGTGAGATATATTTTCCTTTTTGGAAATTATTCATAGCTGTACTGGTTCTTCCTGGCATTACAAATATATTATCAACCTGACTTAGGCATTAAGCCCCTCTCTCGGTGTAAAACTTGCTGCCTCTTGAACTCCAAAAGCCTGTTAAATTTGAGAAAACTGCATTGAATCTCTTTGTACTGGAATACAGGCACTACTTAGTCATCTTGAATTCAGACAGAATAGAGGACAAATGAATCATCGCATATCTTTGATTTCTCTAAATACGAATACGGGTATTCAATGCATCTGTTTATTTCTTAATATATGACTAGAAATACTTTGTCATGTACACTTAGGCGAATACATTGATCAAAATCATATCATTTAGGATCTATGGATCTGTCTCTAGGAATCTATTCCTCTTAATAATTCCAACATTATTCACTAAGATTCTTAGATTTTAATTCCCTTCAGTGGCTTAATCAAAGAATTTTCTGATATCTTCTGGCTAAGAATGAGCGAAATCAATAGGCAATGATTTAACATTGGCTCCCTTAACCTCAGCTCTGATAATTTCAGCAGCATTGTCAAGTTTCTCCTGAGATCTGGATGCAATCACAATATCAAAACCACTTTTAGCTAGTTCAAGAGCGAATTCTCTGCCAATACCTTCTGATGCTCCAGTTATTAAAGCCACTGGCTTGTCTTCATTGTCTACTCTGCCATATCTATCTTAGAGTCTCTTGTAATTATTATGACCTTTTGATGCTTCATTGAAATGATAGTTGTAATATGAATTTCCCAATTAAATCAACGGATTGAAGCATTGATAAAAGCCCACAAAGAAAATAGCTTTTTTAGACAGATTTAATGCTCTCATTTATTTAGCAATATCTTTAATTTTATATTAATTTCCTAAATATCCCAATTAATTTGGATTCACGGGGTTTTGGGGTTTTGGGGTTTTGGGGTTTTGGGGTTTTGGGG